CTCCCCACCACTCTCGCTCGCTCGCTCGCTCCCCATTAATCCCCCTGTATGCCACAATGCATGCGGTGGCCACGAGACAGAGACGGGCGCAGTGTGAGGGGGGGGGGACAGGGAAGAGTGCTCCAACGCATATCGGTGCGGGGGGAGGATGGGGGGCCACGGGAGCGCTGCAGCGTCGCAATTTTGATTGGAATATTTTGGGCCGTTTTGCGAATCATGCGCTGCTTGGCAAACGTGCGCGACGCAAACGCATATCCCCTGTGATGGTCGCGAAACCCGAACATCAATGGATAGGGGATGGGGAAGTTGGCGGGAGGGGGGAGGGGGGTATTCAAAGGGTGGCTGTTGATTCCCCGTGCGCCACGGTTTGTTGCGCGGTGCCCCGTTGCTTCACAACTACCAAACGCGTTTCCGAAAATTTACAACCGCGCGCTTTGATATCGGCGTTTTGTGGGCGTCTACCCCCTCCTTCCCCATCCTCCCCGAGTTCTCTTGAATCCGCGCCGTGATGCGACGGTGCATCCGCCGCCCGACACACAACACAGTGAATAATCCGGATCAAAGCAGGCTATGAATGTTATAAATGTCTCATTTCACATAAAAGTATGTCTAGATGTGACACTTAAAAACAGAACGGAAGTGTTCGAAAACATTCCCAATCGCTTTGAATGTCACTGTCGTTTCTGTGTGTGGTAGTGGTCATCACATACGTGATTTTGACACGTTTTTTTACACATTTTGTACACATTTTACACTTTTCAATGAGTTTTTTTGAAATACGAAATCTCATCTCTCTCGTCTCTCTTTCAGATCCGCCGGGTGCGCCGTACATCGAGGGCTTCGACAGCAACGTGGTGCAGCGCGGGCGGCAGCTGGAGCTCATCTGCAAGAGCCGCGGTGGCAACCCGCTGGCGCAGCTCATCTGGTACAAGAACAACGACCCCGTGCACATGAAGTACTTCACGCATGACGCCATCTCGGAGAGCACCTACACCTTCACGGCAGACGCGTCCGACAACAACGCCGTGTACCGCTGCACCGCCACCAACATCCAGAGCCAGAAGCCGCTCAGCGCGCAGGTCACCGTCACTGTCGAGTGTAAGTTTCTACTGGGGAGGGAGGG